AGGTGGATTCCTATGGCTTCTGCTGTATGTAAAAGACGAACTCGTAGAGGATGGGTGAGGTGAGAAGGAATGTGATAAATAACTTTAAAGGCATTATGAATGTTAACTTGGTGGCCGGTGTCAATCAGATGAGAGAGTATTGAGCTTCGTGTCAGTCTGGCTTCCCCCTTACTTAGCCATGAAGGATGATGCTCGGCGATTCGACGACGGACTTGCCTAACTGTACGTCCAATGTAACTAGCTCCACAGTAGCAGTTGAACTGGTAAATGCACATAGAAGAGGAGAAGTCAGGGAGTCTGTCTTTAGTTCGTGTGGTCATCATCGGCCGGCTGTAGAAAATACAACATAACTTGGTGGCATTAAATGATCTTCTTATGGCATTGACATTGGGTGGAGATTGAAGATGAAATGAAAATCTGAATCACAGTTTGTTTGTTGGTAATGAGTTTTATTTAACTGAGTGCTTATTGGATTGTAAAAACGATCTACTGTCATAAAGGATATTAATGAGTCAAGCTTAAAAACAGTAACACAATAAACAGATTTCATTTTCTTTTCAAAATTTAGTCATATTTTCTGTTCAGTTATCTTTTCTCATTATATAATGATCAGGTGAGCTCATAATAATAATAATAATAATAATAATAATAAAATTTATTGCATATGTTTATATGTGTAATAATTTGCTTGACACGGTAACTATTATCATGATTAGTTTTATACCAGTTCACTTGATTAACTATTTTCTTGATAGTAGGTGTTCAACGCTAATTTAAATCAATAAACTGATATTAAAGTAAAGTTTACCGACTTTCTTATGATTATTACATATATATGTATACATATTGTTGACTTTTGTAGCATGAAATTACTTCATACAAGATCAGTGAGATGATTTTAGGTCAACACAGTAGGCGGAAATGTCATTCACATAAAACAATTATTATATTATTATTATTGTAATTATTATTATTATTATTATTATTATTAGTCCCTTGGGTTCCTAGTGGAAAATAGGGCTTCAGTAGCACGTCCCCAGTGACCTCTGTTCTCTGAGATCTTTTGAACCTGGTTCCACGACAGCCCATAACCTCTCATTTCCTCCTCGCACGACCTCCTCCATGTCACCCTCGGATGTCCAACTCGTCGCTTCCCATGGGGATTCCACTCGAGTGCCTGGCCTGACGCGTGATGTTCCCAGTCAGCCTTCTCAGTGTATGCCCCGTTCAATCCATCTCCACTTCCTCCTGCATATTTGTTGGGTGATAGGTTCTTGGTTGGTTCGTTCCCAGAGCTCCTTGTTGCTGATTCTTTCTGGCCATTTGATCTTCAGTAGCGAGCCAGCGTAAGCAGTTGTTGATGAATGTCTGTAGTTTATTGGAAATCCCTTTCGTAACGCGCCAAGTCTCTCAACCATACAGAAGCACTGACTTGACTAGATTGGTGTTGAAAATCCGGATCTTGTTCCACATGCTGAGTGCAGAAGATCTCCACACTGGTTTCACGCTAATTAATGAACACCTGTCTTGCTTTTCCGATCCTGGCTGACTTTGACATCATCGTCTGTGCCTGTGCCACCTGTAGTTGAAATAGTGCTTCCTAGATAGGTGAAGGAGGTTACTTCCTTTAAGTTTCTCCCGTTGATGGTGACTGGAGTTTGTTGTTGTTGGTTGGGTATCTTCATCACCTCTGTCTTCTCTATATTCACCTGAAGTCCCGTCTTCCCTCCCTGCCTCTTCTGTCAACTTGTTAGTTTTCTCCTGTAGATCTTCAGGTGTATGTTACATCAGACACAAGTCATCGGCGAAATCCAAGTCTTCTAGGTTCTTTTCCGCAGTCCAGCCAGTGTATCCCCCTCTTCTCGCTCCCCACTGTTTGCTGCATGATCCAGTCCACCACAATCAGGAAGATCATAGGTGATTAAAAGTATTTTAGTTAAAACTTTAAGGTACAAAATAAAAGGTTTCTACATTTGGAAGATATAATCGAGGGGGACTGATGATATTACTCAACACACTTATTAAAAATCTCTATCCTGATAAATTCATAAGGAAACATAATTACGAAATTATTCATAAAAGATATTCCAGTAGCTAGTAAAACACCATTATACATTTGGTTACAATTTAGAGGTAGTGTGCTCAGTGAGATATCAACTCGTAAACTACGTTGATCAACTTAAAGAAATTCTAATCCTGGTGAATTAGAAACTTTGTTTTCTAGACGTCTATGTATGACACCAAGACTGAAAGAGGAATTGTCTAGACTTGAGATTTTCTGTTGTGTTTATCAATTCGACTGCTCCTGTGGAGCCAGTTACATCGGTCTATGCTTTTGAAATTTAACTTTCAGTGTGGTGTGGTGAGCACTATTACTAGCTCCATATTGGAAACCTTGATTCAAACGAATCATATGAATGAATCGTTTTCCATTCTGTACATGCTTCAAATCAACTTGCCAGAAGTTATTCGACTCCAAATCCTTCAAAATGTAGAAGCAGTTACAGTTAGGATCAAACAACCTGAGTTATATGTTCGAAAAAGAGAGTGTTCCCGCTACAACTACCAAGACCTCATTCAGAACACACAAATTCCTTATGGTCCTATACCAGGTAGTCTAGTTTTCTAATTCCATACTGTTGATATCCCTTCATCCCTTTAATCTGAAGTGTTTTAAACAAATCCTCTCAACTCATTTTGTCGCCCCAACATGAGTAGTATTTTATTCTTCATATTTATCTTTGTGTTAATGAGTTAAGAATAACTTCTCCATCCATTCATCCAAATCAACCTAGAACCAGGCATTACTGCGTAACGGTCCGAGTTGCCACACCACATATCATTACATCAAATAAAAAGGCAGTGAAGTGGAAGATGAAGAAGGGAAGAAAATTCAGTTGAAAGAAATATAAAATATTAAAAGTGAGAAAGGAAAAATGAGAAAGTGGTGAAATTCGGCATGGCGTTAGGGAAAGAATAATGTGTGTATACATCTGCGCCGCTGACTTCGATTCTGAGCCATTTTGCCTAGGGTCTCCAACCACTGGTTTTCCTTGTCCTGCAGACTCCAACCGGCTAGTCTACATCACCCCATATGGCTCAAACCAATAGTCAAACACTTCATGCATTGATGCTATGCTTTAGCCTGGCCGAGAACCAAGAGCCTTCTCCCAGCCTGAACCTATTTCGGTCAACATTGTGTGACGACGCAGTCGGCGACTAGGCATATGTAACACGTGTCCCAACCATCTCAGTCAATGAAGGTCCACAACCTCGTCAAGTAATTTACCTCTTCTCCCTAAAACTCTACACCTGACTTCTGCGTTATTCACGTGGTGACATCACGACACAAGACCTATACTACGAAGGCAATGGTGGTCAAACACCTGGAGTCAGCCTTCTTATGTCTTCCACCTCCAATGGTTGTTTCAGAGCCAAACAGTAGAACAGACCGGACTGCTGTGGAAGTGCAGTACACACGACCCTTAACAGACAATCGGGCATCATGGCGGCGGCTCATCCTACTTCCCAGGTAAGTGAAGTGGTCAACACACTCAACCACATCACTCTCTATTGTTATCTGCTGTGAGGCACCGTTGAAGATCAATCGTGGAGCAACAATTTGCATTTGGGTGGTGAAAATCGCATCCCAAACATTCTCAAATTCCCCTCAAAGTGTGCAGAAGACTCTGCATCTTGTTAGCGTCTTCACCTAACAGGACTATGTCATCTGTGTATTCCAAATCTAACGAAAATTCTCCCACGATTAGGTCAACCTCTGTGTAATCAGGTGACGAGTGGGAGACCTCCATAAGAATATTTATGATAAAATTGAATAAGAATGGAGATAGTGAGCACCATTGACGGACACCACTTGTTGAGCACGGCTTCTCGGACATCTCACCATAGACTCTAACACTAAAAACCATCGTTCTACCTGTGATTAAACGAAAAATTTGGATTTGCTATGTAAACGACACCTTTGTCATCATTAAAAGGTGATGCAGAAAACACTCACAGTTCAATCAACAACGTTTTCAATGACATCAAATTCACAATAAAAAAGGAATCAAATAACCAACTACCAGTTCTGGATGTTTTAGTCAGTAGGACAAATGCCGGAAAGCTGGAGACCTAAGTGTGAAGAAAGCCAACACACACTGATCAAATCCTCAACTACAACAGCAACAAACCAACAATGCAGAAAATCAGTTGCGTGCAGACTCTATTCAGAAGAGTGAGAACACACTGCAGTACAACAACTTCACAGAGAAACGATGAAAATCACTTGACGTCCACCCTAAAGAAGAATGGCTACCCACGAAACTTTATCAAAAGATGCCTATCCGTACATCATCAACTACAAAGTCACCGACATTTGGAAGAAGACTTCATACTGAAGTTAGTGCTGATGATGTCGTCTAGCAAGGCGATGAAAGCTTCACGATTAAACAACCCAGCTCAGGGAACACAATACAACCGAGGTATCTTGAATGTTGCATGTCATAGTGATCAGCGGTAGAACTCAGTAAACACGTTTCCTCATATTTAAATCTTATAATTTAAAGGTTAAAACTGCCTAAAAGATTTATACTTGTGTTCTAATCCATTAGGTGTTTGCTAGTAATGGAATCCAGGATGTAAGTATCGTCTTATTTTGGGCTTCGTCAGCTGCATACAACTACCACCCTGTTAGTGATGTTGTTCTCAATTAAACTTTAACCCAGAACCAATCGGTTCAAACGCCAAAAACTTATCCCTTAGATCAGTAATGGACAACGAGTATTCAACGAGTACCAATTATTGTTATTCATTGGTGCTTGTAATTTCCCATTGTTATCCTGAATCGAAGTGATCAACTGATCTATCCCTTCAAGTCCTACCTTCAACTATCCCATAAAGAAAAGAAAAGATTAGGGACTAATTCATTTCCAAAAGAATAAGATAGTAGGATAGTATTTTATCCAGTGAAAAAAAAATTAAATTATAATATGACTTACATTTTAAATTTCTCCCTGTTCAAGGTCAATGATTTACCTTGAATCATATTCTGATTATTTTTATTCCCTTGAAGTTCTTTTAATGCATTTGTAAATTCAGTTAACCTTGGATCACACAATGATATACCAGCACTGTTAATTAACTATAAATTAAAACAATTTGGAAGGGGGGAATATAGAGAAAAACGAAAAGATGATGAAGAAGAAGAAGAAGAAGAGGAAAACTGGACTCAATGACTTATTCGCATTAAAACTAAAATATTAACGAAAATGGAATAATGACTTCAATAGAATTGGGGTCAATTTGATGAAACATTTATTTTCATAATTATTATTCACTCAGTCGATCTAGTAATCAGTTAAATTAATTTATTTAATTAATATAAGGGAGAAAGATGATTGTGAAAAATTAAGGGAAATTTGGTAGAATATCATTCTATATTATTATATATTATTATCTGTCCCTTTGGTTCCTAGAAGAACATACGGTTTCACTAGCACGTCGCCATTCTACTCTGTTCTCTACAATCTTTTGAACCTCGCTCCACGACTGCCTAGAAGCTCTGATTTATTCCTCACATGATCACTTCCACACCACCCTTACCTCACAAGCTCAACTCGTCGATTCCTATATAGGTTCCACTCGACAGCATGGCCTGATGCCTGATGTCCCAGATCCGTCTTCTCCGTGTATGCCCAATCCATCTCTACTTCCAATTTCTTCGGCATATTTCTTGACTGATAGGTTCTTGGTTGGTTCGTTGCCAGCCACTCAGCCAGCCAGAGTTCCTTGTTGTTTATTCTTACTATTCTGGCCATCTGAACTTCAGTAGTGAGTCAGCGTAGGCAGTTGTTGATGAAAGTGTATAGTTTATTGGAAATCCCTTTCGTAACGCGCCAAGTCTCTCAACCGTCACATGGAAGCACTAACTTGACGTTGGTGTTGAAAGTCGGGATCTTGTTCACGCCTTATGCTGAGTGTAGTGCAGTGCAGAAGATCTCCACACTGATTATTTCAGATCAATGAATGGAAACCTGTCTTGCTACTTTTCCAATCCTGGTTGGCTTTGACGTCCTCTTCTGTGCCTATGCCGCCACCTGTAGTCGAAAAGATGTTGCCTAAGTAGGTGGGTTGGTGAAAGAGACTACTTCCTTTAAGTTTCTTTAGTTCATGGTGATTGGAGCTTGTTGTTGCTGGTGGTGGTTGCGTTCGTTGGGTATCACCATCACCTTTGTTTTCTCTACGTTCACTCGAAGTCCCGTCTTTGCTGCCCTGCCCTGCCTCTTCTGTCAACTTGTTAGTTTTCGCCTGTACATCTTCGAGTTTGTGCTACATTAGACACAAGTCATCATCGGCGAAATCTAAATCTTCTAGGTTCTTTTCCGCGGTCAAACAGCGTATCACCCTCTTCTCACAGCTGATCACTGTTTGCTGCATCATCCAGTCAACCACAAACAGGAATATCATGGGGGATGGTAGACAGCCCTGTTTTACTCCTGTCTATATTAGATAACTTTATTAGAATAGGAGTGAAATTTAGGCAGCGTAATGGATTATGATTCCATTTGCATTCTTTTGTTTAATATGGAACATAATTATACACTGTTATTTACCGGAAAACCTTATGGAAAGGATTTGGTGTCCAAATTTATATCAACTAACACAATGCAGTGACTGACATGATTGAATTAGCGTTGAAAATCAGGATCATGTTCACGCTTTATGCTGAGTGCAGTGCAGTGCAGTGTAGTGTAGTGTAATGCAGTGGAGTAGATTTCCACACTGATTATTCCAGATTGATGAAGGAAGGTCTGTCTTGCTTGCTCTTCCATCCTGGTTGGCTTTGACATCCACATCTGTGTCACTGCTGTTACTGTCGCCTGTAGTTGAAAGAGTGTTGTCTAGGTAGGTAGTTTGGTGTGGGGTGGTAGGTAGGTAGGTAGGTAGGTAGGTAGGTAGGTAGGTGGGTAGGTAGGCAGGCAAGAGCGAAAACTTCCTCCAGATTCCTCCCGTTCATGGTCATCGGTGTTTGTCGTTATCGTTGTTGTTGTTGCTGTTGTTGCTGTTATTGGTTGGGTATCTTCATCACCATCACCTTCTCTACACTCACCTGAAGGAAGTCCCTTCTTCGCTGCCCTGCCTCACCTCTTCTGCCAACTTCTCACATTTCACCTATAGATCTTCGAGTTTGTGTAACAAGATATGCGACATAAATGATCATGGTTGGCGAAATTCAAATCTTCTTGTGGGTTCTCTTCATAGGTCCAGCCAATATATGCTTATCTTCTCACTGTTCCTCACAGTTTGTTGCTTGATCGAGTCACGCGCACAATGATCCAATAGTGTTTATTGTTTAAGAGACTATCTAAGACCAGTGCTTGGTAATGGGAAGGTTACCGAAATGAAAACATAAATCTATGTCTCTTTGATGTTCATCCCATTATATATACACTAATTGGTTACTGGAGGGTAACCAACTTCGTGTTGTCTAACCCTAGTTGCTGATTAAAATCCTACCGATCAATATGCAATGTGGCGACCAAGCTGTGCGATACTTCTTTGAGATGCACTTTTGATGGATGTTGGTTGAATGGTGGCAGTTGGCAGGAAGCCTAGAACATAAGTTTCAGGTTTATTGGCGCTTGTCAACATGTCGTATTTGCAACCCCTATGAAAGTGATGCCCTGCCTCAGATTCGATCCACGTCACCCAGTGTTCGTTAACTACATAGATTATGACTTCTTAATCAAAGCTTGAGAGATCTATCTCAGTGTGAACCATTAGACAGCATGAAATCATTGTTTAACTTGATGCTTTGTCTAGATTCAAAGTAACTTTATATTCAAGGTGTTCTGAAGCTGATAGATATCATTCAATTCCATTTGAATTGGTTTATTAGGTGTATTACACAGTGCAGCAACAGTATTATTTAGCGGATTGCCTTTCTGACATAAATCAAGATAACTCCATAACTTCGAGATATGGTTTATATAATTCTCATTTTCCTCCCTCCTTTATGATATAGATAGTAGGATTCTTCATACATATGGAATAGATGCTGAATCATTTCTGTTACATGCATTAGGACAATAAATTGTGTCTGAAAACGTAATACAGTAAATAATACTGTTCCTTTACTGTGTAATACATCCAATAAGTTAACTAAAGTGGAATTATATATTCTCACAGAACCCAAGTCTTACTGTTATTATTTATATTGTTCCATGATTCAGAAGCAATGTTGAACATACTCTAAGAATTTGTTGAAGTTCAGTGTCATTCTAGGTTTATCCAACTAAACATGTCATTTATGACTAACAAAATGATTTAGTGTTGTTGCTTGTATTACACCGTCGTTGATTGGACCGAATTGATCAGTCTCTATTGGCATATGGCCTCGTATGCGGATGTCTTGATATTGCCTATCTTTTAACTATGTTTAGTAATGATTGTTTTGTTAAAAATTCATTTCTACAGAACTAGATTAGAGATCATATAGTAAGAAAAATTAACTTAATATAAGTGAAAAACTTGAGTTCTGTGGTAGAATGTAATTCCATATTAGATTTGTTTATTTGATATATAGCGCACAGTGATACAGTATTATTTACTTGATTACGTTTCGAGCATAAATTATCATTGCTCATAATCATATCAATGTAATCACACTTCTTTCGACATCTGATTTTATAGTCCTGTCACCTGATCTCTCTTTGTTTTTTGTTTTTTGATTGGTAGTAAAGTTTTCCATATCTCTGGTATAGGTGTTGCGTCATTCCTATTACATGTGTTGGGTGTGATTCGATGAACAAAGATTCAGTAATTAATCTCTCTCTCCACCTAGCTATATTAGACTTAAGTACAGTGGTTTTGTCCCATCCTATTGTGTGGTTGTGTGTTAATGAATGTAATGCAATGGCTGAGTGTTTTTCTAGGTTATTGATCTTATTGGGGTCTGCCGTTCTATGTTTAGCTAAATTCCTATGTTCTGTTAATCTAACTGACCCCGACCGGCTAGTTTGACCTATGTATTTGACTTCACAGTCATTACATGGAATTTGGTAGATTATATTATTTTGCTTAATTGGTTCTATCGGATCTTTTAGCCGACAAAGCTTACCTCTAAGTGAGTTTGTTGGTTTAAATGCCACCCTAATTCCAACCTTGTTGAGAATCCTACGTATGGTTTCTGATGTTCCTTCCTTGTATGGTATCACAATAGAGGTGTTGATTTCCTTTCTACTTATGTTGTCACTATTATTTGTATTTGTATTAGTGTTATTATTTTGCTTCTTATGTGTCCGTGTGAATTTCTTAATAAAATGATGGGGATAATTATTAATTATTAACGCTTCTTTTATGTGTTTCAATTATTTTTTTAAGTCCTTACAATGACTAGTGAGTTTCTCAGCTCTGTTATTTAGACATTTGACTAAACCCGCTTTAACTGACACTGGATGAGATGACTTGAAGTCTAGATATCTGTTAGAATGTGTTGGTTTTCTGTAGACGGTAGTATCTAAACCACCATCTATCCTTCGTTTTATTCTGCAATCCAACATAGGTAATTCTCCTTGTTCATTTTCTACTTCGTAAATGAATTGGATTGCGTTAACTACTGAGTTTATGTGTGTCAAGAAACTGTCGATATGTTCCGATTTCAACACTGTAAATGTGTCATCTACATATCGCCACCATATCTTAGGTGTCGGATTATATGTTCGTAAAGCCATATCTTCCCAACTATCCATAAATAAATCTGCTACTATAGGGGATATTGGTGATCCCATTGCTACTCCTTCTGTTTGTCTATAAATCTTTCCCTGAAACTTGAAGACTGTCGAGGTTAAGCATAACTGCACTCCTAACATGATTTCACCAACCGATGCCTTGGTTCTTTGAGTAAGTTGTGAGTCAGTATCTAGTTGATTTCTGACTGCCTCCAGTGCCATATTGATTGGTATTTTAGTATAAAGACTTGTTACGTCAAAACTAACCATTTTTTCCTTCTCATTCATTCACACGGACACATAAGAAGCAAAATAATAACACTAATACAAATACAAATAATAGTGACAACATAAGTAGAAAGGAAATCAACACCTCCATTGTGATAACATACAAGGAAGGAACATCAGAAACCATACGTAGGATTCTCAACAAGGTTGGAATTAGGGTGGCATTTAAACCAACAAACTCACTTAGAGGTAAGCTTTGTCGGCTAAAAGATCCGATAGAACCAATTAAACAAAATAATATAATCTACCAAATTCCATGTAATGACTGTGAAGTCAAATACATAGGTCAAACTAGCCGGTCGGTGTCAGTTAGATTAACAGAACATAGGAATTTAGCTAAACATAGAACGGCAGACCCCAATAAGATCAATAACCTAGAAAAACACTTGGCCATTGCATTACATTCATTAACACACAACCACACAATAGGATGGGACAAAACCACTGTACTTAAGTCTAATATAGCTAGGTGGAGAGAGAGATTAATTGCTGAATCTTTGTTCATTGAATCTACACCCAACACATGTGGAATAGGAATGACGCAACACCTATGCCAGAGATATGGAAAACTTTACTACCAATCAAAAAACAAAAAACAAAGAGAGATCAGGTGACAGGACCATAAAATCAGATATCGAAGGAAGTGTGATTACATTGATGTGATGATTATGAGCAATGATAATTTATGCTCGAAACGTAATCAAGTAAATAATACTGTATCACTGTGCGCTATATATCAAATAAACAAATCTAATATGGAAAAATTAACTTACTTCAATTAAATCATACGCATCAATTAATTCACTACCATCTTTTTTGACCAAGTCAAATAAAGATTCAGATATTACACTTTGATAAGATATGCTGTAAAATGAAAAAATTTTTTTAAGAAAATAGTTATTAAATTAGATCAAACATTTTTAAGGGAAAGAATAACTATAAGTCATTCTTATGAATTGAAAACAATGTGCTCAAATCATGAATTTATAATTGAACAAACGAAGGCTATTGTTTTGTTTAGTAATACAGTCTTTTAAAGACTGATGACTAGTTCAATAGGAAGGATTTTAAAGCTTAACTTGAAAGTTTATGATGATTGATTGATTGATTGATTAAGGATAATACAATAAAATGATTTGAATATTGGATATATCCAAGCTGAAAAATGTCTCTCTCATCTACAACTTGTTCTGTTTCATTTGCAAGTGTGTTGTAGAAGTATCTTACATCTTTGCGTGAACTCTTCTTCACTTCTTTGTCCAGTGTAGTGATATATAGGTTATGTTCACTTCCTGTTTTCGTTGTTCATCCCTACACTGCATTGAACTGGTTCATCTTCTTCTCCCCCCCTCCCTCTTTATCAGCTTCCATCTATCCGTCAAAATCCATTCCTTGTCTTGCAGATTCTTCTTCCTTTCTGACATTGTTATACACGTTTCCTTTCCTTTCTTTACTTTCACAGATTTCTAGTGTTCTCCCATTCAGTTTTCTTCAGAGATGCTGTTTAGTGTCTCCCATTTTTTTTCCTGATGGCTGAGTGACGTGAAAATGTCCTTTGTAGTTTCATCCTTCAATGTCTGTTCTGAGTGTTGAGCTTCTAGGAATAGTAATATGCTTTACTCTCTTTTTTTCTTCGATAGGTTGTTAACTTGAGAAATATATGGCTGGAAATATGCCAGAGTGCATTGTACGTTTCAAAGATATACTGAAAAGTTGAAGATAAACGAAAGGAGAAAGTTGAGAAAAAGGACTGATTGAGTGAAGAAATATGTTCTTTTCAATTAGTCTTCGTCTTCGGCTCTGTACTAATACATAGACTAACAATTCAATCAAAATACCAATGAACTGATTGAGGTTTGGTGAATAATAATTATAGATGAGTGATGAATATAACAAATTTTAGGAATGGAGACAAGAATAATCATTTGTAAATTAAGATTGGTAATATGAAGTAGGTTATTCTTAGGTAAGTTGCATGCTAAATTGTAGAGTAAATGGAGTGATTTTTAGAAGAGTATTCAATCATAAACAACAAATAATTACGCAATATCAGGTTGGTATCAATCATGAACTGACATCAATTACAGGAACACTGGAAGCCTGGGAGCACTGGATAGCTGGCTCGTCCTAGTGCAGGACTCCTCAGAAGTGCTCATTCGTGATCCCTCACTTCCAGGGATCGAACCCAGGACCTTCAGGTTTCGTGGCCAGAAGGTTGCCATTGAGCCACTGCTTCGGAACCCAATGGTCCGTATTTCTGACTTAGTGCCTTGATAAAAACCTGATGAGCACGGAATCTGAAGGCCTGTGTTCGGTCTTTGGAAGTGTGGGGTCATGGGTACGCAATGTTGAGAGTCCCATGTTGGGACGAAACAGCTATTCGGTGCTCCTAGGTTTCCGATATTCCTCCAAATTATATCAGTCCACAAACCCCCAAGTAATATTATGTAATGATAAGAAAACAAATGAGTATTGATAGAAATAAGAGGGGGAGGTGTACACAGTAACACTAGAAGTTACATCATGTTGACGGTCACGGTAATGAAAGCGGTCGAGCAAACTTCTTTTGAATACAAAGATTACGTTTGTAAAGGTGGATTGAAATCGCCTCTGCTATATGAAGTAAGCCAGTGCGTAATCCATGTGGTAAGTTAATTGGAATGTGATGAATAATTTCCAATGCTTTTCCAGTATCCACTTGATGTCCAGTGTCAACTGTGTGTGCGGTTGTAGAAGATGGGACATAATGTAGCGGGCTGAGATACTTTTCGCAAGGCTTTTTTCATGCGTTGTGTGATGAACTTCGCGAAGTTCGCAACTAGATGAATGAATGTTATGAGCGTTAAGACAGGAAAGACAACAATTCCTAAGAAGCAAACCTTTTCTAAACTGAAGTTTAAGAGTGACATTACCAGTAGGGTTACCGCAAAACGCATGAAAACAGCCTTGCAAAAAGCATTCTCAGTAGCTAAACTATGTCCCATCTTCTACAACCGTTCTATTCTAGGTGCAAGAAATAAAGGCAAATAGCCTAATTCTGCGACTTCCATGTACATTTATCAATTCATGGCTCTCGACGAACACATGAAGCTGATAAAGGGGGGAGAGGAAGATGGTGAAGCAGAAGACGAACAAGTGCAGTGTAGTTTAGGGATGAGCAACGAAAAAAGGACTGATCACAACCTATAAAAACTGCACTGGACAAAGAAGTCAAGAAGAGTGCGCGCAAGGACGAAAGACACTTCTACGACACACTTACAAGTGAAGCAGAACAGGTTGCAGGTAGGAGAGATCTGACAACATTATATCAAATAACTGGGTTACTGTCTGGGAGGGAAGAGATCAACACAGATGCAGCCAATAAAAGATAGTGAAGGAATCCCAGTTAACATCAAAATGGAGAAACAAACGAAACAATGGACCAACCACTTCATAAAACTCCTGAATCAACCCTACCACCACCTGCAACTAATCCAGAAATACCACTGGCAGTCCAGACACGGAACTAACAGTGAACACATACCCTCCGACAAAAATAGAAGTCCTGAATGCCATAAAGTTACTGAAATCCGGGAAATCAGTAGTACCACTTAGAATTCCTCCACAAGCACTGAAAACGGACACAAAGACATCAGCGAACATGCTCACACCACTGTTGTAGAAGGTTTGAAAACAAGGGGAGGAGGAAAGGTACCTGCAGATTGATTCGAAGAAGGGCTACCTTGTCAAACTTCCAAACAAGGGCGGCCTTAGCTTTGCAAGAACAAGAAGATGCGCGTAATCATGCTGCTGTCCATCCAAAGCAAGCAAGAAATTGAGCCGCATCATCCTGGAGAGAATAGAAACTGTTCTGCATTCAAAATTATGACCGGAACAGAATGGCTGACTGCCTTCAGGAAGAAAAAATCATGTGCGGATCAAATTGCATAGCTACACTAAGCATCATCATAGAACATAGCATACAGTGACAGTCAACTGGATCTTTTCCTTAACTTCATCCATTTTGAAAAGACCTTTGGCAGGGAGCTGCTTCAACACTATGTTTTTACTGCGACAAACCTTTGTCAACCTGACTCAACAGCCATATGCTATATGAACATACTACATGCCAAGTGATTCACAGTGGAAAGCTCAGTGATGCCTTTGAAGTGAAGACAGGAGTAAGACAAAATTTCCTACTATCACCGATAATCTTCCCGATTTTGGTCAACTAGACTGGACACAGTCATGCAACGAAATGTGAGGAACAGTGAGAAGATAAGCATATATTGGCTGGACCTATGAAGAGAACCCACAAGAAGATTTGAATTTCGTCAACCATGATCATTTATGTCGCATATCTTGTTACACAAACTCGAAGATCTATAGGTGAAATGTGAGAAGTTGGCAGAAGAGGTGAGGCAGGGCAGCGAAGAAGGAACTTCCTTCAGGTGAGTGTAGAGAAGGTGATGGTGATGAAGATACCCAACCAATAACAGCAACAACAGCAACAACAACAACAACAACAACAACAACGATAACGATAACGACAAACACCGATGACCATGAAAGGGAGGAATCTGGAGGAAGTTTTCGCTCTTGCCTGCCTACCTACCCACCTACCCACCTACCTAACTATCACCCAACACCAAACTACCAACCTAGACAACACTGTTTCAACTACAGGCGACAGTAACAGCAGTGACACAGATGTGGATGTCAAAGCCAACCAGGATGGGAAGAGCAAGCAAGACAGACCTTCCTTCATCAATCTGAAATAATCAGTGTGGAGATCTACTACACTACACTACACTACACTACACTACACTACACTACACTACACTACACTACACTACACTACACTACATTACACTACACTCAGCATAAAGCGTGAACATGATCCGGATTTTCAACACTAATTCAATCATGTCAGTCACTGCATCCATGTGATGGTTGAGAGACTTGATGGCGTGTTATGAAAAGCATTTGCGACAAACTGCAGACATAGATCATCAACAGCTGCCACTTAAGCTCACTCGATACTGACAGTGAGGATGAATGAGATGGATGGAGATGATGATAAGAATAAGTGAGGGGGAACTTTGGCTGGCTGGCTGGCTGGCTGGCTGACAACGAACCAACCAATCAACGAACAACCTTTCGCCCAACAAGTATGCATAAGAAGAAAGTGGAGATTGAGATGGATTGGGCATATGGTGAGAAGACGGTTTGGGACAGGACACGCTACGTGAAGCTGTTGGATGGAAGTCGAATGGGAACCGATAAGTTTGGCATCGGAGGTGAGGATGATATGGAGGAGGAGGTTTTGAGGAAGAAATGAAAGCTTGTGGTCAATCGTGGAGCCTTGTTGAGAAGACTGTAGAGAAGAGATTGAAATGGTGATGTGGTAATGAAACCGTATATTCCGCTAAGAACCTAAAGGACATATAATAATAATGCTTTAATGCTGTTGTTGTAGTAGTAGTTACGGAAGTGTTTTAGTAATGCAGATTATTTCTCAATTCTTATAAATTTGTGCAAAGATAAAGACATTTATGAGAAAGGAAGATAAATTAAAAGAAAAATACAGTACGTCCAAGATTTTTGAGGAAATGAACAGTCATATAACCTGGGGCTATGAATCACCGACTTTCAGTAACCTGTTACTTTCTTATTCAGCACCTGTTTATCGCAGTATACATTATACTTACAGTTAATAACTTAATCTACTCAACGCATATCTTGTCACTGCTATTTCTAGGCTTTCTCTGACTTATCGTTATTCCAAAAATCATCATTGATGACGGTACACGACAACCAATAAGTAATTCTCCAAGACTGATAATACATGATATTCTACAGCAATCAAAATATCAAACTGGAATGCATGAATGATTTGAAGAATTTAGCGGATTTTTTAATATAGCTGTCTCTGTAGGATTAGTGATACGCAGTTTAATCACCATTTGAGCAATGCTGTGTGTAGACGTAGATTACAAGGTAGGGAAGGCAAGTCATAGATGAAGTAGTAGGCTTTAACCGACTGAGACGGTTTGAAAAGGTGTTGTGCATATTGAACAACCAACCACCTCGATGCGTGATATTAGCTGAAGTGATATTCTATTGGAATTAAGTCAAAAGGTTGTCAGATTAAAGCGCTTCATCAATCCATAAAGTTTTGACTAGTGATCTGGGTCGTGTGATAAGGTATAGGCTATCTTTCATAGGTCCTTGGTAGGATAGCAGTGAATAGTTGGGAAACCTTGTGATATGGTTGGATATCAAACACAATGATGTAGATATGCACACTGTTCGTCAATTTTGAACTCTTGAATAATTTTGTAGATCTTTATCAATTTACGCTACCTATCATAATACTAGTCTTTTTATATCCACTCATTCTTGGCAAGTTGCTGTGAAATCCAGCAACTTAAACTGATGAACTTCTACCCCAGGTTCTGTATCTATTTGTGCATCTATGTCTGTCAGTCAGTCTATCTGTCTGTCTATCTGTCTGTCTGTCTGTCTGCCTGCCTGTCTGTCTGTCTGTCTGTCTGTCTGTCTGTCTGTCTGTCTGTCTGTCTGTCTGTCTGTCTGTCTGTCTGTCTGTCTGTCTGTCTGTCTGTCTGTCTGTCTGTCTGTCTGTCTGTCTGTCTGTCTGTCTGTCTGTCTTATTCCATCTTGGTATGTTAATTAAAAATGTCACGCAGGGAAAATGTTTCGAACATAATTTATTGTCCACATTCATATCATCTGCAATTAATGTTTACTTCTCTATTTACAGTAGGAAAAATAATTTTCAATAAATCCCACAAATAGCAATGAAGTAGTAATGTCTATAGTGATCATAACACTAAGTTATAAGTTGTGTTAGATACATAAAAGTTGTCGAAAATAGAATATCAAGTGATGCAGACACCAAAAAAATACCCATCAGGGCATGAAAGAAACAAGACTCAGAGTACTTCAGCGAAAAAGACTCTTTTTGACAATGTCATTTTTCAAAGCTGTACAAACGCATACTTATACAATCCTCTAATGACTATCTATATAATATTTAATAATCGACAGTGGTTTAGTAAACATGCTGGCGAACAAAAGTTGTCGATATCCAAGATATTATTATCACTGAGAACTTGTCAAAACTGTTATAAAACTTGATGATTCATCAAAATGTAACAGGTATCGAGTAAAAATCACTAAATTTAAATAGTAATGAGTTTGATAGCATGGGGGACTGAAGCATGTTCAGAAAGAACATATAGACAAGAATATAATATGTTGAAAAGCAAAACAGTAGAAGAAACAGGTGACTACAATGACTAGTAACGTGAAAGGGGTTAAACTACTTGGTTTTGTGCATATATTTCAAGATATTTCATATGGATGATAAGAACTTTCGAGATGGAGAGAATGCCAAGATAGAAAATCATTGAAGGGCTTTCTCCAATTTGTAGACGATTTTGAACCAGGGGTTTCCGGCGGCTGAATGACTTGCATTAACAACATATGAATAATCTATTTACCTGCCTTGACAGATACAGAAAGACAATATCAACGTAGAAGCTCGCACAAAAACGCATCGGTTCAAGTTGCCATACTTCACAGTATTATATAACGAACAAGTGGATAGAAAAGACACAGTTGAATAAGAAAAGAAACAAGATGAATATAAAGGTTAGTCAGAACGTTCAAGACACAGAAGAAATCGAAGGTTGAATACATCTGCGCTATAGTGACTGATTTTTGGCTAAGAGTTCTCACCCACTGATTCCTATTGCATTACGGACCGTAACCGAACAGTCTACACCTCCCTTCACGGTTGAGACCAATAATCAGAGACCAGGCACCAGGCACTATGCAAAATAATAAAGAAACATTATGAAAACAGAAAACCAGAGAGAGAATGGGTATTTACAGAAGTGGATAATCAAAGAAGCAGTCACATCCTCCTCAGCTTGCAGAGATCAAGTTTCATATATGTAGATCCCATACGGATTCGTCCAGTACGCTACTTTTTACAACAAAGTTAACGTCATGACGGCGTTAAGGCTGACTTAGATTGGCGTATACAGATCTGAATTTCTATAAACAATTAGAAAATTCATAAATCACGCCTTCACCAATACTCCCGAAACTATCCAGGTACGAATAACAGCTATTCACCATCAACTGTGTGTGCAGGTACAGGTTCTTGCACTGTGATACCACCAAGTACATATTACACTTACGTTATTGATCACCAACTGAATGAATGAGATAGGAGCAGACTGTATTTCGTCACACCATAAAACTATATCGTCAGCACACTTCAGGTAGATAAGTCTTTCATGTCATAGCAGATTTATAACACCATGAATTACTCTCTTCACCGCTGTATCCAGAATGTTTCATAACCCCTGTTGTCATATGTTATATTTTTGCAGTGACTACCTGATATGACCTAAGTTGTATAGAGGTGCAGATGCAGATTCCACTACATTGATAGTTTCTCAGTTTCTTGATAAATGGAAAAGGCAGTAAGAACAAAAGTGTATTGAAACATCAAAAATATACAGAAAATAGAAGGGTTTATATAGATTTACAATGACCTTGGCTACTCCAAGCCTTTCTAGATTTAAGTCATTGATTTTTCGTCTCATCAACAAATCTGACTTGATTCACGTGTTTTTTTCCTGAGACTTTGATGTTAAACAATTGGTTGAAAAAGTCTTTCAGGGTTTACGGCTAGTTGGAAAGATTTTAATAGTCCTATTCCACACTATAACACAATGTTATCGATATAAGAGTTATAAGGAAGTGGCGAAATAAAACAGCCTTGTCTAACTCTACTATTGGTTTGGAATAATGAAAACAAGGGACTATATGTGTCTGTACTCTACCTGAAGTGTTGAAGTAAGTGGCTATCAGGATGTTAACTAACTTCTGAGGTGCACTTCAGGCTAACAAACAATTTCAAAATATAGCCCAATCTATGGAAGAAAAAATATTACAGAAAGAAAGATGTAGGACAGTAAAACTTTGATAATTCAAATGAAAGATATAATTTGAGTTTATCTGCATTGTTTTAGTTATTTCTATGCAATATTGATTATGGACTGCAAGTAATTGCTTGAATTATCTAATGAAATTCCGCCAGGTTGATGGTGTCGCTATGGGAAGTCCTTTAGGTCCCCTCCTAGTCGACATATTTATGTCACACGTTGAGAACTTAGCCGAGAACTTAATAGACCAAGCTCATCTGTATCGAAGATATGTTGACGATATCCTGATTATTTGTGAAAACTCAAATCAGGCTACTTCAATTCTAAACCGACTGAACGAAGTACAGAACAGCATATCTTTGACATGTGTAAGAGAGGAAGATGACTGCTTGCCGTTCCTAGATATATTAATTAGTCGAAGGCAGGATGGATCCATAAAACGATCTATCTACAGAAAACCTACATGGACAGGGCAATACCTGAATTACCATAGCTTTTGCCCAGTTCAGTACAAGCGAACGTTAGTAAGGTGCTTATTCAGCAGAATTCAACGAATATGCACCGAGGATACTTTAGAAGATGAAAGAGGAACACTGACCGATATTTTGTTGGAAAATAACTATCCATCAACATTTATCAAGCAGAACAAAATCACCAGAGCGTCAAAACTAGATCAGCAGTCAGTCCCAAAGAAGGATGTCTTCATCAGCCTTCCGTACAAAGGTGCAATCCTTAAGCAGAGACTTAACGCTGCTGTTAGAAGGACTTACTATGCAGCCAGGGTTCGAGTAATCGAAACCACGAAGCCCGTATATTCCCCCAAACCCCACAGCATGTGAACGATAATGTCACATCCCATTGTATCTACCAATTCAAATGTACGTGTGGTGACACATATATAGGGAGGACTAATAGATCCATGCAAGTAAGGGCCTCGGAACATATTCCAAAGTGGCTTCAGAAGCAAATTAAATCACCTGAACCTATAAATGTTGGTAGCAGACGTCCAAGTTCTTCGATCACCAAACATATCGTTGAGACAGGTCACAAGATTGATGTGGCTACTTCCTTTACACCTATTTACAAAACATGTTGGGGAGGGATCCTGAAATTTGTTGAAGCCTTAGCTATTAGGAAGTTGAAACCTTTATGTATTCATAAACAATTTGTTGTCACATTAAACCTTCCTTGGTAAATTCAACTATTCAAAAACCAAGTTCGATGTACTATTATTTTTTCGCTCTATTGATTTTCATTGTTATTCGGCCTTTAAGTCAGCCTTCCCAACTGACCCCTTTTTTATTTTCTCACCCCTTATCTTCATCAGTTTTATATAAATACCTATGACAAGTACGTGTGTGATCAGATAGTTCCAAATGTGTTGCGCAAATACATTACACGGTTCAGACAATTTACGTCTTCTTATTGTTTTGTCGAAGTTTATCAAGGGAACTAATTGTTTTAATGAAATTCAGCTCAAAAGTCCAAACTCTTACATAACACTTAAATCAATATCCCAAAGATCATAATTATATCTTATGGAATAGTGTTATGCTTCTAAATTCAACAAAAAATTACTTCTATCCATTTATGATGAATAATGGCTAGCAGTGGAATCAATGACATGCTTTTCGTTCTATTTTGGACTCATCAGCTAGATGTACCCCAACTTCCAGTAAGTGATATCATCCACTCAAAGTAATAACATGAGTTACTTTTATTGTTTTAAGCAATAAAAACTAACCTTGTTTCCGTTTTTCTGTCATTCCAGAATCCCATCTTTTGTTATTGGTGACAATGTTTGAAGTATGCAGAATTCTTGTAATTTTATAAATATTTGCTTTACTCCTGTTCCATGATTTGATAAAATTTAAAAGTGTTCTAGGCTAAAATTTATAAAAACATCTTATTGAATTATCATGTAGTCACTGGTGTAAAAGTTAGTATACTAACTACAGACAGATAATCACACAGCCCCACTAGGGATAGAACTCAGAATCTTCGGGTTTCATGGAGAACACATCAGCCACTTAGTCACTGGATTCGATCCCGTAAGAGTCATGAGTGTGTAATGCTAAGGAGTCCCATTATTATTATCATTGTTATTATTATTATTATTTGTCCCTCGAGTTCCTAGTAGAACATACGGTTTCAGTAGCACCTCTTCATTCCACTCTGTTCTCTACAATCTTTTGAACCTCGCTCCACGACTGCCCACAAGCTTTCATTTTTTCCTCACACGATCTCTTCCACACACCCTTACCTCACAAGCTCAACTCGTCATTCCCATATAGGTTCCACTCGACAGCATGGCCTGATGCCTGATGTTCCAGATCCGTCTTCTCCGTGTATGACCAATCCATCTCTACTTCCAATTTCTTCTGCATATTTCTTGACTGATAGCTTCTTGGTTGGTTCGTTGCCAGCCACTCAGCCAGCCAGAGTTCCTCGTTGCTTATTCTTACTATTCTGGCCATCTGATCTGAACTTCAATCACGAGTCAGCGTAGGCAGTTGTTGATGAAAGTGTATAGTTTGTTGGAGATCCCTTTCGTAACGCGCCAAGTCTCTCAACCATCACATAGAAGCACTAACTTGACGTTGGTGTTGAAAATCCGGGTCTTGTTCACGCCTTATGCTGAGTGCAGAAGATCTCCACACTGGTTTCAGGTGAATGAACGCCTGTATGCTGTCTTGCCAATCCTGGTTGGCTTTGACGTCCTAGTCTTTGCTGTACTGCATATAGTTGAAACGATGCTGTCTTGCCTAGGTAGGTGAAAGAGACTACTTTCTTTAAGTTTCTCCCGTTCATGGTGATTCGAGCCTGTTGTTGCTGGTGGTGGTTGCGTTCGTTGGGTATCACCATCACCTTTGTTTTCTCTACGTTCACTCGAAGTCCCGTCTTCACTGCCCTGCCCTGCCTCTTCTGTCAACTTGTTAGTTTTCGCCTGTACATCTTCGAGTTTGTGTGACACCAGACACAAGTCGTCGGCGAAATCCAGAACCTCTAGGTTCTTTTCCGCGGTCAAACAGCGTATCCCCCTCTTCTCACAGCTCCTCACTGTTTCTTGCATGATCCAGTCGACTACAGTCAGGAATATCATAGGTGATAGTAGACAGCCTTGTCTTACTCCTGTATTCACTTCAAAAGCATCACTGACCTTCCCATTGTAAGTTACTTGGCATGTGGTGTCTTCACATAGTTGTTGAATGAGACTGATAAAGGTTTGTGGTATTATGTAGTATTGAAGCAGTTTCCAAATTACTTGTCAGTAGACGCTGTCGAATACCTTTCCAAAGTGGACGAAGTTGAGGTAGAGTTGAGTTGACTGTCATACTATGCTTTGTTCTATGATTATGCGTAGCGCTGCAATTTGGTCCTCACATAATTTGTACTTCGTGAAGGCAGCCAGCCTGTCCCGGTCGTAGTTTTGAATCCAGTACATTCCTTAGTCTCCCCAGGATGATGCAACATAATATTTTGCTTGCTTTCGGTCGACAGGAGCATGATTCTGTGCCAGTACTGGCAAAGAATTAGGTCCCCCGAGTAGTCACATACTAGGACAAAATAGCAGAGGCTTTGCATTCTCTCTCAACCTTGTCACCATTATCACCATTAGTAGTGGAATTATTAATAACAACACCTGTATTACCACTACCACCACCACTGCTAATATTTTTTCTCTCGATTTCTTATGAATTTATTTATAAACTCAGATGGGTAATTATTGACATGTAAGGTATTCTTGATGTGTCGAATTTCTTATCGTAGATTTTCTGGTCTACTAGTGAGCTATTTCGCCTCATGACTTAGACATTTAACTAAGCTTACTACTACCTTAAAAGTAAAGTGCCGATTAACCTAAAAACAGATGGACGATCTGTAATAAAACTGATAAGTTCGAATCCCACAGGGGAAAATCAGTTTTCACGAGGTTGAAGATATGCATTGATGACAAGTGCCAACAGGTACAAAAAGCATGTCGAATGGGCCTGATTTTCTACTGACTGACTCCAACCAAATAAAATCCATGAAACGTGTGCCCTAATGGTGAATCCTTTGGCTTGGTAACCATACTGTGAAATGATCAACGAGATGCGGTCAGTCCTCAGGTCTAGACAACGTGAATTCGGTTACTTCACAGTTATCAATCAATGTATATCTAACATTACTAGATGATTGGATAACTCGAAAATATTTTGAAGGAGTAATTTTTGTGTTTATGGCAACCGATTCATTACAAATCTGATCTGAATACAATAATGATGATAATAATAAAAGCAATATCATATTTATTATCAAATATTTCAAGATCCCGTCTTTAGTATTCTGAACACGATTAAAACTACCTTCTACAGAACTTAAACTCAAATGAATAAAACTGTTTTCACAGGATCCAAGTAATAAATAATGTTTTCTATGACTGTTCCTTTTAATTGAATAGTCAGTAACCAGAAAGCTGATGTATGAATTACATTGTGGTGGGCGTTGCTGATAATAATGGATATAAGTAGTATATATTGAGAGGGTAGCAGAAATCATAGGGAATTACCGGCAACGGGTAATGATTCTGCCAAGAGTGATACAAGGGATAACGCCGGCGTATTACTATGGATGCTGCTGATAAGAATGTGTGAAGAGCAAATCAAGAGAGAATTAGAAGAGGAAACGAAGCACATTTTGCAAATGACGGGTTTAGTGCAAGGTGTACCATATGCAGTGAGTCCCGTCCTAAGTATTGTGTACTCTGTTTCTGCAACGTGAGTTAGACAGCTGATGGGGGCACTAAAATAACGAAAGAGTTGGCAGCAAACAACTTCCAGTAAAACCAAAAGGTACCACTTGTTTAGACATAAAAGTTAATAGACTGTATAGTTTTACTATATTTAAACTGGGTGGTGCTTGAAGATGAAATAAAGATTTGAACCGCGGCCGGACTCGAACAAGTGGCCACCAAGTTTCTGGGCCTGACGCTCTACATACTGAACTACAAGGTCCGACTGCCGATCAGATTTTGATTTCACTTCATTCAGATAGTCAAATGATAATCAGTATGATGCTTCCCCCCCCTAGTCTAGTTACATTTGGATTGGTATGAGATGTCCTGACTAGGCAGCCAGTGTGAATACGATCAAGTGGTAGTAACGCGTTATGAATTCGCATAGTAGTCGGGCAAAAAAATCGTCATTGATTGAAGTGAAATAAAAATTTGATGAGCAGTCGGACTTCATAGGTCAGTTAGTAGAGGACTTGATCGGAAAAACCAGTGGTCAGTGGTTCAAACTCTGCCGCGGTCCAAATTTTCATCTCACCTTCAATCACCACCCAGTACAAATACTAATCTGCTAAACTATGGTTATCTCAGATAGTCAACTGATATGTCTATTTAATAAATTTATAGAGGTCAATAAGGCACATATACCAAGCAATTACAAATCGCTATCAGTAAAATGGTCATTCTTATACTAAAACCTCCTAAACTGTGAACATACAGGTAAGCGAATGATTGAATATGAATAAGTTACAAGAAGAAGGTCCTGAGATCGATCTTTACTCCACAGTGTTGAGAAGTCTCACACTAGGATGAAACAGTATCTCAATGCATCGAAATTTACAATGTTACTGTAAACGACGTCCACTCGTGTTGAATACCACCTTGATTTCTTTTATACTATCTACAATTTGATAGCTAAAAACTTTGAATAGACAGACAGCTAAAAGAATACATGAAAGTTTTCTCCATGCTTTTAAACTTTAAAAATTTCGTTTCTAAATAATGAACTTAAACAAAATGCAGTGTAACTCAGCTTTTAAATATTTCCTTCACAATAATATATAAGGATTTGAACCATAAAAAATTCTAAAAAACCGTTAGGGAAAAGGAAGCAATTTAATAATCGAGAATACCAAGTAATGAACAATAATTTATGAATAAACCATCCGAATCAAAGAAAATAATAAAACCACAAAGTGATTTGTTGTTATCGTTTAATAGAGACCGATCAATTCGGTCCAATCAACGATGGTATCATATAAAAACCCTTATACTAAAAACTATACCCCTCGCACAAGAAGTGGCTTTCGTAGCTGGGTGGTGTAGTGGATGACGTGCTGGCGTTTGAAGCGATCTCTCCCGAGTCTGAATCCTGGTGAGAACAACATCACTCACTGGGAAGCAGGTACATCCAGCTGACGAGTCCCGAATAGGACAAAATGCGCATCCTGGAATCCAGTGCTAGGCACGATCCATCATTAACGTCGTTTATAAAGTTAAAATATTTCGGTTTTCTTCTGTTTATTAGAAATATCACACAGTGAAGGAGGAACAGTATCATTTACTGGATAACGTCTCCGACACAATTTATTGTCCATATTCATATCAGGCAAATAACTCCACAACTTCGAAACAGAGTTTATATAATCCTACTTTTATCACCTTCTTTGTCATGATAAGGGTAGTAGAATTTTTCATATGTCTGGGACAGATACAGAATCCTTTCCATTACTGCATGTATTTCGTGTTGATTCGATGAACAAACATTCGGTTATCAGTCACTCCCTCCACCCAACCAAGTTAGTTTTTACTATTGTCTCCATCTCCCACCCTACTATTTGAATGTGTGTAATTGTGGGTAGAGCTATAGCTGAACTTTCCACTAAATTTCTTATCTTATTGAATCTACTAATCTTGATTTAGCTAAGTTTTTGTGCTATGTTATTCTAATCAACTACTTTGACTGACCTATGTACTTGACCTCGGAATCATTGCAAGGGATTCCGTAAAGTGGATTATTTTGCTTCACTTCATCGATTGGATCTATTAACCTACGAAAATAAAAGTTACGTAATAGTGAAGAGCGAGTTAAGGGGATAAACAAAGCCTAGA